TTTTAGAGTGAAAAACTAGTTTAAATCTTATGTTTTAGAGAGAAAAAATATCTTAAATTTAAAGAAAGAAAATTTAAATTTTTTTAGACTTTCCCTTCTTCTTTTGAATATTAATATTTTTCTTTTTTAAACGCGTGAGGTAAAGAACTTATATTTAGTGTGCCGCAAAACTGTCCACAAAAGTCAAAACACGATTTGCTTTTCATTATTATTTTTGAATCTTATCTCATACCATTTGGTCAATGGGGGATGTCAAAGGGTTCAAAGGCTAGTTTGTACCTAAAATCTCACCAAGAAAACTATCTTTTGCACATAAAAGGTAAAATCTGACGTTTAAATATTAACAAACATGGATTTGAATAAAAAATAAATAATAATTTTTAACTGGTCCATCTGAGATTGAAATTGATATTGATAAATTTTTTTTTTTAAAAAAAAAAAACAGAAAAAGATTCTTGGATTATCTCTTGGTATCAACCCAACCCGGCCCAATTAGAAGGCTTTTTTTTTTTTTTTAATTTAAATCTTCCTTCAAACGTGTTTGTTTCTAAGCCAAAAAGAAAAGTCTATAAAAAATTATTCTAAAATATTTTTTTGAAATTTTTTTTTTATAAAATAATATTAAAGAATGAAAAATTATTGAGAAGAGGGTGGGGACTCGTGACCACTCACCAACTCATTCCCCACCCCCACATTGATATGAAAATGGTTTCCCTTGGTTTTGCGTGAGAAGCCCCAACTCAATCACTTGTGAAATTACTTACATGAGATATGGCAGAGAGATCCCATTTTTTTGGAGAGAGACTCTCCATCACCGAGCCCTCCTCTCCTGCTCCGGACCCACAGTCCCCTCACGGCTCTACCCACTCGTGATCACGGGGTCAACGGCCATAGGCACCATCTTGAGCCACAAAAACACAAGGCCCACCCTCTGTTTCCATCCAAGCCTTCTGGGCTCTTTTCCCCATCTCTCTTGCCTCATTCATTCTCTAGTTTTTGCAGCCTACCTCGGTTCTCTGTCTCCCTGAAATTCCAATTCTTGTTCCTACTGCTAGCTTTCCTGCTTATTCCTTCACAAAAAAAAGCTTGAATTCACAAGTGCCACAATGCCACCTTTGTTTTTTACCTTCTCGAACACTTTGACATGATCCGATCCAAACAGCACAAAACGTCCTGCAACAATTATTTGCATTACCTATATTAATTTGATCTCCATTCCTGGAATATGTTGCACGTTCTCTCCTGCACGAGGCTTGGCCGTCTCCATCTCTGATGTAGTGAGTATGGGAATTCTTCCCCTCCCCTCACGGTGAACTTTGATCGAGCTCGTGTCCTGGACCTGCGCAGATCCTACTTGTGCTTCCTAGACACCATCGTCACAGTGCTCCAAATCTCCGTCTTCCTAGGCATCTTGCACTGTTTCACGAAATGACCCGATTTTCATCAATGATAGCATGCCTTTTTCCTCTTCTGTTTATCCTGCGATTTACCATCATTTTCCTCCTCTTTGTTAGAGTCCGACTTCAGAGGCTGATTTTTTTTCTTCCTCTCCCGTTGCCCTTGGGTGACCGCAAATCTTCTTCCCTCTCTTTCACATAGAGCTCCACCATACCGTCTGTCTTGCTCGAGGTTCTTGGTTAACTACGAGGATCTTGACCGGCGTGGGTTGCATGGGCCAACCTTGAAGCTCTATCAAAGACACATTAAACTTGGGTCTTAGCCCACAGATCAGATGATCAACCTCCGCATCCAGCTTTCTCGAATCCATGACTCTTCATTAAGTTTGGAGTTCTCGTTTCACAGGTTATTCACTTTCATAAAATACTGATAAACCGAACCCTGCGTCAACCAATCAAGCTCATTCTCTAGCAAGTGCAGCCGATTGTTGTTTGCTCGAGAGAACAAAGATGAATGGACTTCCCGTGGTGTTTTTGCATATCTGTTGTAAGCTCCTTCTGGATCGAATCTTTCAGCACAAACAATGCTTTATCCACTTGGGATCTTCCAATTCCACAAGGCGTCTCAATCTCCATTCACAATTTCTGCTGTCTGTGTGATAGCATCGTAACTCCATGCAGGATTGCCATTCGATCGATGTAGTTCTCGATCCTAACATTGTCCGCCATGTCCACCGTATTTCAATTGGTCTCGATGCTTTAATTTTTCAAGTCGAGCACCGCACCCAAAATCGCGAACCGGGCTCCCATAGTACCTGTTGAGTCACGCCGAAGAAAATTTATGCTCGCACCATGCACCCCATGCTGAAAACACAAAAATAAAATCACGCACACACCAGAAACAATGCGCACATATGCACACCTAATCTAGAGAGAGAGAATGAAATTTTATTCACAAAAAAACTACTCTTGACCATAATTAACAAGTCGGGGACGAATAATATATCGGAAGACTAAAACATACGTATTATTTAAAAAATTCAGATAAAAAAATCGGGTCAAAAATAAGAATCGCCCAAAATAAAGGTAAGATATAGAATCATAAATATTTCGGACTTGGTTAAAAAAAACGGAATGAAATAATCAAATATGTAAAAATGGCACAATATAAGATTATGATTTGCAATTATTTTATAGATACATTAAAGCTATTGAATAATAATTTTAAGGCCTTTCCTAGTCTCATTAGAGTAATACTGGATAAAGTTTTGTTAAAGCTGTCAATAAATCCAACAACAATGCTTACTTTGTTGTAAGGACACAATACATATAATATATTTATTGGAGGCATAAAATGAAACAACAACAACTGCAGTACTAAAAACAAGAACTACATTAGTAAATAACAAGAATTGCAAACCAAGGTATATAATTTTGTTCATTTAAAAGAAGGTCTTATATTTAAACCAAAGTTCAATAATATTAAGTTAATGAGTAAATAAATTTATATCAAAGTTCAACAATATTACGTTATATCAAAGTTCAACAATATTAAGTAAATGAGTAAATATTAAGTTAATGAGTAAATATGAAAGAAGTTTTTTTAAAATAAAATAAAATACAGATTTAAATCAGTTTCATTAAAAAAAGAAATTTCTTAGACATCTTTTAAAAAATTCGGAATTCTTTACCGATTTAAAAAATCAGATATTTTTTTTGAAAAAATCGTATTTTAAACGGACAGCCCCCCTCCCCCTCTCTCTCTACAATGCCTCGTTCATGCTAACCCTAACACCCCTAAAGACCTTTGGCCAGTTTCGTGAATTAGCACCCCTAAAGACTTTTGGCCAGTTTCGTGAACTTGGCCGGTCCAGAACTGGCTGGTCAAATCGGAATCGGTCACTGGCCAATTTTGTTTTCGCCGGTTTAGGTGGTCCGACTAGGTATTTTAAAAAATAAAATATAAACACCCAAAAAAATAGGATTTTCTTTTGTAGTATGTTTTTGAATATTTTTTAACGTTTTAGGAATGATTGAAAAATGTTTTGGCCACGAATACTTATTTTTACTTTTTTTATATTATTTCTAAAATACCCTTGAACAAATCAATTTTTTTTGAAATCCATTTATTTCACTACTTTTCAACTTCTTTTGAATATACTTTGTTCAGTTATTCTCTAAAATATTTTTGTTTAGATATTTTGTTACTTTTTATAATTTTTTTAAAGCACTTTTTGAACTGGCCGAGTTAGCGGTTACTCATACCCGGGCCTTGGCCAGTTTCCGAGGCCGGTAAGACCTGTCGAACACTGCCTTCCGCTGCTACCTGTTAGTGCCCTGCCCTCAAGATACCCAACGTCAATGCCTAAGATCGTCATCAATGGCCTCACTGCTACCCATTGACGTTAATGCCCCTCTTCTCTTTATATACAACACAGTGATCCTAACGAGCCTTGACCAATACGTGAGGTATATGTCCTTATAAAAACGATCCTATCTAAATCAGGTAAAAAAATATTCCCTGATCTTATTAAAAGTTACTCAAATCAAATATTCTCCTACCAATTTGAATATAAACCCAAAGACCCCAACAATTTTGTTAATTCTGACTTTGTCATTGAAAAACAGAAGTATCCTAATTTGTATGGCTTTCACCGCCCCGCCCCGCCCCGCCCCATCCCCTCCGGGGATTGTGAGAATAAGCGATGACTCTCAACACCATGTCTGCCTTTCCTGCAGTTAGATAAGTTAGTATGGCTTGTAGTAGGGTTTTCTTACTCTTCGGTATAAGGGATAACATGGACTTCTACTCTGCTCTCAATTTAAGACCCGACTTCTAGTGAAGCTATATGCGACCGGAACGATGTCTTTTAGCGGGCACGGCTCCCATCCTATAGCCTGTTAAAAGAATGAAGTCCTCTTCTTTATGGATGGGAACCAGCTCATAAACTAGTCAATTAAAAGAACTGCGTCCTCTTCCCTATGGCGGGGGCCTGTTTGCTTGGGGAAAACATGCCCCTAACAGTAGGGAAGACATGAGCCTACTCATGTTTTTCAATAAATTAGGAAGTTAGTTTTTTTGAAAGTTTCATTGGGTAGTGTCAGCAAGATTGAAAACCATAACATGATAGCTAGGTACAGGGGTGCTACCACCACAACCCAGCCCCTCTCCAAACACTCTAGTTATAGCACATATTTTCTGCCCTAGGACTAGTCTTTCCGGGGAGATTTCGGGTGCGGCTTCATGCTTATTAAAATGACAATAGTGAAGAGAAAGATGAGCAAGAAGGAGAAGAAACGTTTTAACAACTTTTTCTCTAACAAGGGTGCACACAAAAGATGTGGCCCATGATGGAATACTGCTTGAAAGACAGATCTAGAATATCAAACATGTGGCATAGGTTCTCTCAACCGTAGTGGAAATCACCCTATAAACCCCACTACATGATTCATATCGTTAAATTTCCACCCTATAAACCCCACTACATAATTCATATGGTTAATTAATGCTTATCGTACACATTAACTTAATAAACATACCATTAAGTGGGATGCCAACATGTATATAAGTAGCTGAAACTCGTGATCCTATCATCCAATGCACTATGAGCTCTCTTAGCATGTGGTTCACTTCCATGGAGCCTTGCAAACCCTATTTGGCAATGATTTTATCCCAGTCCATATATGCAGGCCTGACCTTGTTCTCCAAGGTAGCCATTAAAGGAGGAATGAACCCCTATGTGTTTGTTGTTTATAGGCAAGCTATAGCCTCAGCAGTATTAGCCCCCTTTGCTTACTTTTTTGAAAGGTAATAAAGTCCAGTTATATGGTTTAATTTTTTCTCTCTTCTAAAACTTATCCAATGAGTAGCAAACCATAGCCTCAGCGGTCATGGCCTCATTTTCTTTCTTTGAAAGTTATCAAACCTCAGTTAGAGTTTTTATTTCTTCTTCTCTTTTAAATCAAACTTGTATTCGATGCGTGATTTGATAATAAATGAGAGAGAGAGAGAGATTAAATCAAACTTTTATTCAATGAGTGATTTGATTAATAAATGAGAGAGATAGAGAAAGTGAGAGAGAGATTAAATCAAACATTTATTCAATGTGTAATTTGATTAATAAATGTGTGTGTGTGAGAGAGATTAATCAAACTTTTATTCAATGAGTGATTTGATTAATAAATAGGAGAGAGAGATTAAATCAAACTTTTATTCAATGTATGATTTGATTAATAAAAGAGAGAGAGAGAGAGAGAGAGAGAGAGAGAGAGAGAGAGTTTGTCCGAATCTTCATTGTTGGCTTTCTATTGTTAAATTAATATTATGCTTTATTTTATGATCATGGTCAGGAAGAAGGCTCCTGCAATGTCCTTTACACTCTTTTGCAAGGTTTTCTTGCTGGCCTTAATAGGGTGAGGAATGTTTTTCTTTCTTATCACTTGTTTTGAAAATGAAGGGAAAGAAATGAATAGCATAAGCCTGTGTTAGTACTGGGCCATGTGTTTGGATACTCGCCGGTCGTGGCCCGAGGGGAGTTATTCGGCCGGGTCTATTATGAGAGGGCTAAAAAGTGCTCGAATTTTTTTAAAAAGATATAATTGATTTCTAGTAGGAGAATCTTTCAAAAATTAAAAAAGAAAATGACAAAATAGGTAATATGGGACAAACAAAACAAAAACCTCACTAATCTTTTCCAGTAGATATCCAAATAAAATATGATATATTTATAAAATATTTTTTTTATTTTTTTGTTTAATTTTTTCGAAAAACATTTTTATATACCTCAACTTGTACATAAAAGTTGGAGATGCTTGGCCTCACTATTGAGTGAGGCTGAGTAACTCAGCCGAGTCCAGGTGGACTTCACCAAGTCTTGAAAGACTAAGCCTAACTTTGGGTTCGGGAAGAGCTAACTATTAAAGACCGCCCAAACATGTGATTGGAAATTAACTGGTCAGCTTTATTAGATCTAGATTGCCATTGAGCCGTTTAGGGTTCTGGTCCAATCAAAATGGACTTCAATTGTTAGTTGAACAACTTAGACTGTACTTTAAGAAAAATATAGAAAAAGCATTTGTAAATATTGCAAAAGAAGTTGTTCAACTTTATTTAGCTTATTTAATTAATTAAAGGAAAAGTTTACAATGAGACCACATACCTTTTGTACTAGGTGGTCACAATTATTTTGACCATTAGTTGTGAAATTGGGTTGCTGCATGTATTTCAAACGAAATTTTCTCGAACTTTATAATATACCCAAGCAGTCAAACTTCATATTAGATGAGTAACTGTGACCTCCTTATACAATAGGTAAATGTCTACCTTAAACTAAACAAGTAAGATACACTTTTAAATGTTACCGGACAATATAGTTTCGATGTTGAAAATCTTATAATAGCTTAAAAATACATGGTCAACCCTAATTATGAAATTAAAATTTGTTCAACCCTAATTATGAAATTAATTTTTTTAAAAATAGTGCACTTCGAGCGGATCTAAAAATACTTGAAGCTCTTTGAAAATAGACGGTTCAAGTAACTTGTTACAAGATATAATATTTTTAGGTCTAACAATAAATTATTTTTATATTCATAAATCTCAAAGTCGAAATGATCAATTGGAAGGTTTTCCAACTTCAGAACAACTTTTCTATCGGATTTTCGGAGTGAACCTTGCTTCTATAGAATAAGGTTGCCACCTTATATGAACTTTTTTTTTAATCAAAACCAACTAGTCTGATGGATTGAAACCAATTAAATTTTTTTTTTTTGTTAAGTTTTCCTCCAAATCTAATTTTTATAATGGACTAGACCGTCGTGGCCATCAAACCAAGTGATTTGATCCGACCAGTAGGTCCGGTCCAACCTTGATAACAATGCAAAACTACAATAAGCTTATGTGGATATTGCATAAATAAAGAATTTGATGAAGAAAAAGGCATGCATTGTATTGTATTGTAGGATTACTGTGAGCATGGACTTGTACTACGTTGCGTTCAAATACACGACAGCAACCTTCGCAGCCGCAACCTCCAACGCCATTCCTGCTCTTACGTTTCTCATGGCCATTCTTCTTAGGTAAAACTACAACACCCCTCTCTCTCCACAAAATACCAAAAGTGTCCATAGCAGAGAGCGATCTAATGAACTCTTAACTGCAACTTACACCTTGTGAGACAGCAAGTCAGATGATGAAATACTTTTAATTGCAACTGACGAGAGAGAGAGAGAGAGAGAGAGAGAGAGAGAGAGAGAGAGAGAGAGAGAGTAGTAGTAGTAGTAGTAGTAGTACGTACGGTACGGTACGGTACGGTCGTACGTAGTACGTAACTTACCGTTTAACGTTACGTACGTTAGTTAGTTACGTTACGTACGT